GTACGTACCTTAATCAGTTACCGATAAAGCTAGCTCCAAACTGTTTTAAGCTAAAGGCAAAGAAACCGAATGATATAAACAAATTCTGAGTACATTAAAATACAAAGTGCAATCTAGACCATCTGTAGTCGTGTCGCTTAGTAGCGTACGGTAATTTCTGCAGTCTTTCTATTGCTACTCCTTGGCTCCTTCTTACTGCTGTCTTTCTGTTTCAGCTACACCTCTGATCTTCTCGTAGGAAAGATCTCCACCAAGCCTTTTCGGACGATGTCGAAAAATCTCGGAGGTCCCGTGTGCATGCTGCGCATGTTAAAGATCCCTTGGTGGTCCAAAATCGATAAGAGTAGGCTGTGGCCGCCACCCGAGCAAAATTCAAAATTTCCTACCAACTGAAAATGTTTAGTATGTCTCGCGCGCTCATATGACCTTATGCAGTTGCGAGCGCTATAAAGCACTTACAAGAAAAAAAAGTTTACGGGTTATAAGCTTTTCAAAAAGATTAGTTTGTGCCTTTTTCTTCACTCGTAGAACTTAGAACTCGGGTCCATGATCTTTTTCTTCGGGATGACGCGTTAATAAACGTCACAGCTCACTTTCTTCTCATCTCGCTTCAATGTTGCTAAACGTGTTCTTGGCGTGCACATGCTGAAATCCGTGTTTACATAAACCCTAAGTGTTCATAAATTGTAGGCTACAGCTCTTTGGTTTTAATCATTTCGTCAAAGATTTATACTTCTTAGTTGAAACGGCACTTGCAAATGGACGAGAAGCATTAATCTCACACGGCGAGCGCACGCACTCACACTCACACACACTCTCACACACACACACACACACACACACACACACACACACACACACACACACACACACATTCACACACATCCACTCGGAAATCCACTCACACCTTCACTTACACTCACTCACTCACAAATGCGCACGCGCACACACACACACACACACATACACACACACACACACACAAACACACACGCACACACAAACACGCGCACACACACGTACACACACACACACACACACGCGCACACACACACACACTCACACACACGCACACACTTTTTCCACGTCGTTCCATCTCTTTCACACCCACACTAAACAAATGTCTATTCACCTGCCTGTCGTCGTCTAAACTGGACAAATTGTTAGCTTGGGTTTGTCTCTCAGCTTAATTGCTCAACTATTTTAACGGCCAAAACAAGGTAATTACATTGTCAAAGGCGCGGGTTCTCTGGGGAGATGTGTCGCTGCCGTAGACAAGGGAACTTGCTGCTCCCCGTCAAGCCTGCCCAGACCACGCCAAGCGAAACTTTCTGGTGCTGAAACATTCATTACAGCATCCGTGGAAGCGAATGACACTCTCCACCCTCCACCCTCAATCCCGCCCCCGAACTTCCTCTGTTTGCCCCCCCCCCCCCCCACCCCCCACCCCCACCCCACCCCCAATCTCTTTGCTGTCTGTTACACATGTTCACACAACACTATCTGCGATGTTCATAGGGTGGGAGAAGAGGGTGGGTGAAGATTCTCGTATTTATAAACCGTTGCCGAGGTTTAGCTTCTCAGTGTGGGCATACCACGATTTGCTGAGTATCACTTCTTCAGAAGCATTCATTCAATCCCAGTTCAATTTTCCTGAATCTGTCGAATTTTCCGGAGGAACAACGGGGTTCTTTGGCATCATGCGCTCTAAGAAATATCTCATCCTCTTAGTTTTGCTTGCGTCGTGTTCCATTATATTCACACAGAGGTGTTTGTATTCATCAGAAAGGAAAGTCAACTACAGTAAGTTGTATATATTATTTCTGTTGACGGCTTTGTTTTGGTGGAAGGATGATGGCTACTCCAAAATTACAAAGTTTTATCTGACTTTTTTAATTTGCCGTTTTGAGTTACTTAGACAATGAGGCCAGAAACCAACAATTATATCTATTCTTTCAAAATTGTAAGATTATTCGGAGTCGTTTTCAAGATATTCAAAGAATTGCATTCGAAAAGGCTTTACATATATTGTGAAACTCAAAATAATTTGACGTCAAATTTCTCAAAACTAAGTGTAGATCATTGGGTTTTAATACAAACGATCTTTTGTCAAAGATTTCCTCCTTTGTATGTGGGTGGTTGGCGGGTGCTCTGGTCTGGTTTGCTATTTCTTTCCTATCAAGCATTTATCGTCCTACAGTTCTCTCCACCTTATTTTCGTTGCATGTTACTCTCTAGTAACACTTCAAATCTTGGACACATACGTGACCTATTTATGTTACAAATATTGTAAAACTCCTATTCGAACTAAACGTCTGTTGTTCAAAAGCTTTCTGACGCGCCGTTTTGGAAGAGAATGTAGAATGAGAACCTGTGCTGGGTGTCCAAGGCTTCGTGTGTACATGATTGCTGGTCTGTTCACCTGAAATCTGTTTCACAACTTCATAGTTGTGGGTAGATGGCAGGTGCTCTGGTGTGGTTTGTTTCAATTTTAGACACATCAATCTTTTCCACTCTCAAAGTAAAACCACACCGCCCGGTCGGTGCTATTGACTGAAGTGTCTTTAGGCCATCGCCAAATGGGGGATATTAACCTGTTCTTATGCACAGTAGAAATGTAAATGGGCTGATTCATCGATGCCATGCTCATAACTGTGCCTGAACTGCAACAGGGAACTGCTGCTTTTTCTTTCCTAATCCTTACTATCATCATTTTTTTCTCTACTTCTTTTTAATGTTTGTCACAATCCTGTGACCCCCTATTTCTGGGGTGCCTTGATAGTTGAAGCAGACTTTGTGCTGTTGAAGCTAGAGAAGTGAGCAGAGTAAGTCTGATTCCCTGTAAGTGTAAGGACTTCTCTGTTGACATCAACCCCTTGGCTCTCATATGACCGTATGTAGTTGCGAGCGCCGTAAAACCTCTACTAAAACAAGTAAAACCAAACCGTGCTATGAACTAACAATCAATGAAAATAACCAACTTTTGTCCGGTGCGCTCAGTTTATGACTTTCTGCAGTTGCGAGCGCCATAAAACTTTAACCAAACTTGCGTTTTCTTTTCAAAACAAATCTGTCGTCCTTACCTTCCCCCCCGCCTTCCTTTGTTTGTTTGTTACTAACTCTTTACCAATCCCTCTATTCTAGGGAATTTATATGACCTATTTGTGTTGCAAGTGCCGTAAAACTCTTATTAAAACATTTTTTAAAATGTTATAAATCTTGATCATGTAATGCGAAAGTGAAATTGTATAGGTCAAATGCTCGTAGCACAATGTAAGGTTATTTGTAATTTAACGGTCTCCTCCGAAAGGACTGTGCTACACTGTCAGACAACTTATCCACCGAACGTTCCGTTTGTGTCGGTAACTCGTTCATCCCTGGGTAACCAGAGAACAGAATCGTGTGCAAGGGACATTGTCTGAGGAAACTTGATAACAAAGACTTTATTTATTTATTTATTTATTTTATTTTATTTCTTTTGGGGGGGGGGCGGGGGGTATACAATATTGACCAGCATTACGGCACCCACTTCAGATGAGAAAAAGAATCGATAGTGAAATTAAAAGATTTGAATATGGAATATGTATTACTTGTACTTTTGGTAACTTTTTAATCCCTATATTGCTTTTGAAACATTGTCTAGGTGACATTTTTATTCTGGAATAGTTAAATAATTACTTGTACTTTTTTGTAACTTTTTTAATCCGTAGATTGCTTTTGAAAAGTTGTTTAAGTTACTTTTTTTTGTTACGGGGAAAGTATTAGGCAGGTGTAATGTGAGTCTTTTTCGATAAATCCAGTCTGTCATTAATTATTGCAGCAACACGAGCTGTGAGTAAGCAGCTTTATATAGGCATACACGTTCCGTTCTGTCGTCTTTTTAAGGCTTCCTTGGATAAAGAAGCCGAGAATCGTTTCTTGAGATACGTAATTTTAAAGAAACTGCTCCTTGCTGTCTGATGTTATTTTGTTGTGATCTTTGTCGTCGTAATTGTCTTGTTTATCGTCAATAATGCTGGCTCAGTCATTAAGTCAGACTGGCAATCATAAGATCAATGTTTTTGTTCCCGACTGGGCTAAGTAGGACGTTATAATCTCCAAAAAATGGATAGTTTTCTCATGACTTCCACGGCTCACTCAGCTGCAAATTGCCACTTAACTCTCGACAAAGTCGGAAATAGTATTTGAATGGAAGCGTTGAGCGCCTAACAGGTTACGGCGCCTTAGTTCTCATCACGGTACTGAGATGGCAAATTGGAATGGAAGCAGCTCCCAAGGGGGCTGTTGCAAAATCGCCTAAGGATTCGATCGAAAGTGATGAAACACACATAAAAAAACGAACAAAACAAAAACCTCCAAACAATAAGGTTCTAACGCTCTATCTTCTGCTAACTTTGATTTTGATATTGCTTTTGATACGGCCATCGTTATTGCCTATGTAGTTCCGTTGTTTGCAAGTGGAATATTTGTGTTTGTGTGTGTGTGTGTGTGTGTGTGTGTGTGTGTGTGTGTGTGTGTGTGTGTGTGTGTGAGTGTACATGTGTTTGCGTGTGTGTACATATGTTTGCGTGTTATTGTTTGACATTGTTCTTTACATTTTGCCGGTTGTTTAGAGGGTTTGTTCATTTTTCTCTTTTTTGTTTATTCGTTTGGGAAAAAACTGGGAGGTGTTTGCTTGTTGGTTAGTTTGAGGAAAAAAGGGAGGGGGGGGGATGTCTTTTGTTTCAGGAAAATGTTCCAACAAATCAGCTTTTGTTCTGGCAACCGGGCTAGCCAATCGCCTCTTGTTTCAGGCTAGACTGACCTGATCTAGGAGGATATTAATGTTTTCCTTCGACATCCCCGCTTCATTTGAAGTTTGATCTCGACTTCCGTGTCGTGTCATTACGTTTGGCTAGGGTGTCAGTTCAGTGTTTGCGAAACTGTAAAATCACTCGTTACAACATCGGAGATGAGGAAAAGAGCGTTCGGATCTGTCAATTTTAACGCAAGAGTGCTCG